AACCTCTGGGGGTGGACGTCATGAAAAGATCATGACGTCCGGGGTCTGGGGAGGGGGATGAGGGGGAGGAAGGGTAGGATACAGGGGACACTCGCTTCGTGGATATTGCCTATCGCGCCAGCGTCACTGTCCCTGCTCTCTTTCTCTCCCTCCATCTTCCCTTGTCTCTCCCGTGTTCTTGGGAGGCAGCGGTCATGAGGAGAAGGAGGAGGAGGAGGAGCAGGAGGAGGAGGACCGAAGAAGAAAAGTTGCATTAGTTTAAACTTCCGGAGAAGGGAGGAGGAGGAGAAGGAGGAGGAGGAGGAGGAGGACCGAGGAGAAGGAGAAGGAGGAGGAGGAGCAGGCGGACCGAAGAAGAAATTGTATGAACTTGAACTTCCGGAGCTCCGCGCGGAGTTCTTGGATCGGCGCTGGGCCTCCCTGGCGGCGCCTCCGACGCCGCCTCTGGCGCCGAAGGCGCGCCAGGGAGGGGGGGTCCGGCGCCGGTGCAAGAGATCCGCGTGGACCTGCAGGAGCTGCTGTCTGTGCCATGCCTGCTGCCTCCAGGGGAGGAGGTCTGTGGGCGCTGTGGCCGAGGCACAGTCCACTGCCCGGGAGGAGCAGCGCGCCCCTGGCACCACGGCGCGACGAGCGTGCTCGCGCCGAAGGGTGCCGGAGGCGGCCTCGCGCACCGAGGCCACCGCTTCACGACCACGGAGAAGGCCCGTGGCGATCCTCTGTAGATGTTCGAGCCCTTGCTTAGATGAGCCTGCGCACTCGCCGACGACATGATGGGGATCAGCCGTTGTGGTGTGCCACGGCCAGCGCAGGAAAACAGGGCGTGCTCTGGCCAAAATTGCAGAGAGTGGTTGTCGTGGAGAATGTGACCGCCCCCCTTCGACCGATCCAACCACTGGGCGAATCTCACGATCGCCGACAGAGGATCCACCGCCCTCAACGGCAGGGCAAGGCCCATCAGAAGCTGGGATCACGTGGCCAACGGGAGGGATCTCGTGGCAGAGAGAGAGGAAGAGAGAGAGAGAGAGAGCAAACAAATTCGCCGCCCCGCCCGCCCTATAAACCGTAGAGGTTGGCTCCTCTGAGGGCCGCCTGGAGTTTGGGAGCCCGTGGGCCGCCCGGCTTGGGCCTCTTGGCCCTCCAAGGGGGCCACGGCAACACGATCGGCTACAGCCTGGGCAGCTCTCCTGCGAGTCAGATGACAAATGGCGTCCCACAGATCGGTGTCGGGGATGCGGCGATCGCCAGGCGCGGGGGTCCAGCTCTCCTCTGCAGCCCCTGCCGCAGAGGTGTCCGCCGCGGTGTTGCCCAGGGCCCGGACGAGCTCGTCGGGAGACGGGCCTGGGTCGGCGGAGTCCGGGTGGCTGGGAGTCCATCGGACCGGAATGCGGTCCTCGCGGCCCACGCGAGGGCCAGGCGGATCTTGAACCACAGGTCTGAATCAGCTCCTTGGCAATGCTCCCACCGTCAACGTTTCCAGCCAGTGCGTAGCGCCTGATGGTCCGTAACAAGCTCCAAGGCACCGAGAAAATTTGAAAGAGCAATATCACAGGCCAGGAGCTCGACCCTGGGCACAGACAGATTACCGTCGGCCAACCAGGGTGCAAATCCAGCCTGAGGATCTGCGCCACCTAGATTCTGGCTTGGCCAAAATGGCCGCACCAGCACCAACACGCCTACGGCGTGGGTTGGAGCTGAACTTACATCCAGCTCCGTCGCCGAACACCCGAAGCAGCCCGTGAAGATTGCAAGCTCGTTGAGTGAGATCCAGCGTGCCGTCCCTGTCCGCCCCCACCTCCCGCAAAAATAATACGGCAATTGAGCAATTTGGGCGGGACGTCCCTCCAGCCGGAAGACTGGGGTGGTTTCATGGGCAGCGGCGGCCTGAGAGCACGGAGCATCAGAGCAAGCGTACGTCGGGCCATCTGCGCTGAATGGGCAAGCCCACACTCGGTGGTAGAGCGACTTGTCCACCAACGCACACTTGGGACCCTTGGGCGAGGCATTGCAGCCTGCATTGCGCTGGTGATCGGTTTCTTGTTCATCGTGTTGCCGATCGGCGCGGGCCTCGCACCCCACCCTTCCCCCCCATGGCGTAGATCTTGGCTGTTTGGGGCGCCTGTTTCGAGCAGGCGGAGCCCCTCCCACATAGGACGCACTGCTTCAAACAGTCGCAGTAAGCAAAGGTCAGGAGCCAGACCCCCCCCTCCCCCCCCCTTCAGCCCAATGTCGAAACGCTGAAAAAGAAAACGCTCACCTGCCGAAGATGGGCCCGCTGCCCTCCAGAGGCGACAGCCACGAGCTGCCCGACCTCGTCGAGGCTCCCTCCCGCGGGCACGGCGGGCGAGCTCCTGCTCGAGGGCCAGGGGGTCCGCGCCGAGCCGGCGACGCCTCGCCGCGAGGGCGAGGGGAGGCCTGATGCCACGATGGCGAACGGGGGTCCTCAGAATCGGCAAGAAGCTCAGAGACAGCACAGTCGCCTGGTAAGCGCTCGGCGTCGTCAGCGTCACGGAGAGTCCAAACCTCATGCATGCAATGTTTGGGTTTGTGCCGCTCCGCGGTGGGGAAACCGGGGCCCAGGACGCGCCCTGAAGAGCAGCAATGACAGCGACAATGGGTCCCCGAACACGCCTACATCTGTGAGAGAAGACCCCCATTCAAGCTCTGATAGGCCCCCGAAGACTTGCAGATGCGATCGTGCAGCTGTGGGCAACGGCTCCACATGTCCAACCGGGCCTGTAAAAGCTGTAATTGCACGCAAAGCAATGCCTAGCTAACGGTCGCCATAGAAGGCCCCTGGACTTGTAGTGAGGCACCGATCTGAAGCTTTGCTGGAAACAGCTTGCCGTGCCTGTCTGCGAAGCGTCCGAGAGGACGAGGGTGAAAGGCCCATGTCCTGGTGGCCGTAAACGGCCTGGGGAAAGGCCCCTTGGAGCCAAAGTCTCTGGGAAACCTTGGCCAATGTCGCATGACGGCGGAGCTTGCGTATTCTGTTATTGTGAAGATTGGCTTTCTTCTAGCGGTCATTGAGTTTGTTGCAGGTCCGACGAAATGCCCCCGATGTGTCGCACCCGAGGTCGATCGCTTGGACCACCAGGGAAGCCGGGATGCCTGAGCCAGTGAGTTGTTGCACGACGCGACCTCCTAGGATAGGGTCTGAGGCGACCACCTTAGTTTTGCTGGGTACTGGCAGCTGCTGCTCCTCAAAGGAGTGGGCAGAGGACTCCAGCCTGAAACATCTGTCACTCAATCGTGCAAGCCCATGCTCTCAGATCGTCAAAAGTATCGTCGACGAAGGTCCAAAGTCCCGTGGACGCAAGCCTGCAGGGCGGAAACGCCCGAGGCCACATGAGCAGCCGAGAGGATGGGTCCGAGGAAGACCTTGGCACGCGTAACCCTGTGGGAAGACCGGAAACAGGAACGAGACCTAAGCACCCGTGGGGCAAGAAACATCTGAACCTTCAAGAGGGTAATTATAGCAGGAAACCCATGCTGCACCGAGACGCACATCAGCTGCGCCATACTGACATGGTCATAAATCTTCTCCAGATCAAGAAGCAGACAGGCTGAGGCAAAGCCCAGAGTGCGTGATGTTCCGTCTAGGATTGCCCGCTGTAAGGCCATTCTGAGGACTTAGAAGCCTTTGACAGCGGTGCCCAAAAATTCAGACTGAGCCTCGGACCACTGGTCCGTGATGTTAGAGCGAATCCTCGACCACGCGCCCATACATGTCGACAACACCCAAATGGGAGGAGGAGGAGGAGGAGGAGGAGGAGGAGGAGGAGGAGGAGGTGCGGTGGGAGGAGGAGGAGGAGGAGGAGGAGGAGGAGGAGGAGGAGGAGGAGGAGGGAGAGGAGGGCGGGTGGAGGGGAGGAGGAGGAGGAGGAGGAGGAGGAGGAGGATAGGAGAGGAGGAGGAGGAGGAGGAGGAGGAGGAGGAGGAGGAGGAGGAGGAGGGGAGGAGGAGGAGGAGGAGGAGGAGGAGGAGGAGGATGAGGAGGAGGAGGAGGAGGAGCCAAGAGGAGCAGGACTAGGAGGAGGGGGAGCCAGGAGCAGGAGGAGGTGGAGAAGCAGGAGAGAGGAGCGCGCCGGCTCCGGCACCCCGCCCTCGCCCTCCCAGACATCCGGCCTCTCGAAAAATCGAGGCGCCTGTCTTTTTCGTCGTCTTCGACCCCTCTGAGCCCTTACCGGGCCTCGGGGCGGCAGGAAACGATTCGGGAGGGGAAGTCGGTCCCGCGGAAGTGGTCGAGAAGTTGCTCGGGGGCCCGCGTGTCGAAAAGATCGGTGCCAAGGTTCTGCATCGTTCTCGGCCCCTCGGGGCCCTTCATTGCCCGGCCTCGGGGCCGGCAGAAAACGACTCGGGAGGAGCAAGTGGTCCCAGGGACGAGGTCGAGAGGTCGGGGGCCCGTATTTCAAGAAAAGATCGGGGCGCTGGACGTCGGGGCCAGATTCGCCGTTCCCAGACCCCCTCGAGTCGTGAAGAGATCGCGACGGAAGGTTCTGCCCGATGTGCGGGCTCCCAGGACCCTCGCCAGGCAGGCCCTGGGGCCGTCCAAAAAAAAAACAGCGCGGGGTGAGAAACCGGTCCCCAGGCAGGGAGCCTAAGATTGTGGAGGTCCACGCTGCGAAACAAGCACGACGTCGGTGTCTGTGTTTGCGGGTCTCGCAGGGAGCCATCGCCGCCGCCAGCGAGGCTCGCCTTGGAGTCCTTGTCGCAACGCGCCCTCGGGAGGCTGCTGCGGTATCGGTAGATTCTTGCTCCCCCAGGGCACCTGCATCCATCGTGGACCGTTTTCGATCTGGTTTCGTTTGGCAGCAAGGGCGGAACGAGAACAGAACGAAGGAGAACGAAAACAAAGCGAAGACGGAAGACACTGCTTGGGTCGAGCCCTGAGGCGACGTGCATCGCTTTGAGCTCGTCTTGCAGCGAAGGCAGAACGAAGACAGGACGAAGGAAAACGATAACAGAGCGAAAACTGATAACACTTGTTGGGTCGAGCCCTGAGGCGACGTGCATCCACCCCGACCGCGAGGAGCCGAACCTCTGCGGGGACTGCCCGCGCAACTCGAGGGTGAGCGGCGGAAGAACAAGCGGTGTCGACTGCGCCGACACTCGCGCGCGCTCTGCCCGCGTGAGGCCGCGCGCAAGCGCCCTCGCCCCCACGCGGTGTGCCGCGCGGGCGGCCCGCGTAGGCTGCGGCGCAGGGCCGCTGCGGCATCTCGCGTGCACGGCCCCTCCCCGGACAGCCGGCAACTCGACATGCTGTTCGAGAGCCACGGGCCCCCGACCGCTCCACCGCTGAGGGCCTCGAGGGGCCGAGAGCGGTGAGGACTGCTTCCGCCTCGCTGCTCCCGAGCCGCCGGAAGGCTGGGCGTCCTCTCGCGCAAGGCGCGCTTCTCTCGGGAGATTCTCCATGGGGGGGGATCCTATGGGATCCCCCCCCCTGGGATCCTATCCCCCCATGGGATCCCCCCCCCATGAAGAGTCTCCCGATTCTCTTCGTCGCACAGGTGCTGGCAACCGCGGCCCCGGCGGGCGGCGCCAAGCCCGACGCCGAGGAGGCCGGCGCCTGTGGCAGCTGCCCGCGGGCGCGCGAGTGCCCGGCGCTGGAGGCGCAGGCGGTGTTCGCGAGCACCTGGGGCGTCGAAGAGGGGGGGGAGGACGCAGGACGGAGAAGCGTAGAACTCCAGTGCTCGACGGAGGAAAAGCGCCATAAACATAAACATACATAAACTGTTGGCTCTCCGCCCAGATTTCTTGGATCTGCGTTTGGGGCCCCCCTATGCGGCGCCTCCAGCGCGAAATCCGCAGACCAGGTCTTCTTCCCGAGGCGTTCTGCGACAGCCCCGGGGCAGGGCAGACGGCATCCACAGGGGGCCGAACGTGGGCAAGAATTGCCCGCCGTCGCCCGCCTGTCGCGGCGAGACGAGGG